CACCCAGATCTGATCAGCGCCCTGCATGTAGAGACCAGTACTAGAGTGTTCTGACCGATTTGGGAGCAACGCCAAACTGAGTCCGTCTTTTTGTCTGCTCATTATTCACTCAATCCACACACAATGGTGATAAACTACTAATGTAGCCAGAGCTGCCCTGAGACACACCAACAGAAACCGGGCAACCAGTATGTGCCATCGGCCCCTCCCACCACCACTGACCATTCACCCCCACACCAGACTCAGGTGGATCAAGTGTCTTGCTTAACGACCCCACGACAGCTTTGAACTTTACAGCTGCCGTCGCCCCACTGTGGCACCCAGTGTGTCTCCCATCACAATACTAACCAGGCCCTGCCCTGCTTAGCTTCAGATGTCTGACGGGATCTGAATTTTAGTCACGGTCAAAGCTCAAAAGAGTGTGTTTTGCATAATACAGTATGTGCCCTTTAATTCTTGGCTGTAATACTTGACAAAACTATACCGCCGCGATGGAAGGCCACAATGCATACATATTCCACTTAATTAAAACAATGATTTACATTTGGATGGGAAAGTTTCCTCTTCACTTTTCTCCCAAACACTTTCCGGCAGTATCGGCTCCGTGAGCGAAACATTCCAGGTGCATATTTAAATGAGCCGTTTAAAGGCAGTAATTGAACCCTCGGAGCAGTAGCACTCGGTCACCACCGTCTCTGTCTATATCTCCAGGGACCGCACAGTTTAGCAATGGGCCTGTGTGAAGACGGGAAATACCCCCATGTCCTGTGCCTCTGCAGACGCCATCCAGCCCTCGTACCCCCCCTCCACCCCCTCCACCCCCCCTACCCTATCCCATCCACTGTCAGTCACAACGCCCCACAGCTGTCTGCCTCCCTGGACAGTGCAAGGCTAGGTGGGCGCTCAGGGATCCAACCCATTTAATGAGGCAATTTCTCAGATAATAAGATTGGTGGATATGCTAATATTTCTACCTTAAGGAGATAATTACGATGTGGGAGATTGGAGTCGAATATCTTAAAGCGGCAACGTACGCGCCACGGTCTCTTGTTGGTTGGTGATGTGTTGAACCAGAAAACAATGCCTTATAATGTTTTTTATTATTGTTATTTTGGGGAGCGCTTTGATCAAACCAGGCATCTGACACTAGCAGGGAGAGGCAGGGGATTAGCAGCCTTCATAAATATTTATCTGCAGACTTGCGGCGAAAGAGTCAAACGAGGAAAAGATGAACAAGAAATCAATTGATCTTTATTGTTAACGACCCAAAAATTAACAACAAAAACACGGTTGGCGTCCTGTGTAGTGGGGCGGCTCGCGAGGAAACTTCCCCAAACGTCCCCAAGCACTTTCGGAAAGTGAGTGGCTTCATCCCATTTCTATTCCCCAAGTGAGCAGTGAGCCAAGTTGGTGATAGAGGAGTGCATGTTGCTAATAGGAAGACCAGTGCCCTTAAATATTGTCAAACATGTGTCCTTGAGGCTGTAGGAAAGTTGGAAGCTTTTTCAGAATGTGCACGAAGAAAATTCAATTCAACTTATTTTTGTGCAGCCCTACATCACAACAGCAGTCGTCTCAGAGGACTTTACAAAGTTGTCAATTAGCCAACTACCAATCACAGAATGAAGCTGTTATTATTGTATTTCCTGTGTTTGAACAAACACATAAGAGCCATTAATCTAGAAGGAGCGGGACGACCACTGCATTCATGTCCCTGATCATCACTGTTATTTGACTTTAGAGAGAAGTCGGCTCCCAAATACGCAGGCTGTAGATCCAGGACTGAGGCTGTCGAACCAGGACTGAGGCTGTAGACCCAGGACTGAGGCTGTAGATCCAGGACTGAGGCTATAGAACCAGGACTGGGGCTGTTGAACCAGGACTGAGGCTGTAGATCCAGGACTGAGGCTGTAGATCCAGGACTGAGGCTATAGAACCAGGACTGAGGCTGTTGAACCAGGACTGAGGCTGTAGATCCAGGACTGAGGCTATAGAACCAGGACTGAGGCTGTAGATCCAGGACTGAGGCTGTAGATCCAGGACTGAGGCTATAGAACCAGGACTGAGGCTGTAGATCCAGGACTGAGGCTGTAGATCCAGGACTGAGGCTATAGAACCAGGACTGAGGCTGTAGATCCAGGACTGAGGCTATAGAACCAGGACTGAGGCTGTAGATCCAGGACTGAGGCTGTAGATTCAGGACTGAGGCTGTTGATCCAGGTCTGAAGAGATTGAGGGGTGGGGGCAAACAGTAAAAAGTATGTGTTTGCATCTGCAGATACAAGTTGTGAAGTTTTGCAGAGACAGACCATCCCTGTCACACAATCCATCATGCTTTTATACAAGTGAACATTTAACATTTTTGGCAACAACTAAAAATTTGCTGTTTTTTGCATCCCATTTAATGCATCCCTCTCTTAACACTATGAGGAAACTGTTATAGCCAAATAAATTAGACTTTGCATTATATGTTCTTTTAAATGATCGTAAATACAGAGCATCCGTGCAGTGATCGCCGCGAGTCCTGCCATGTAAATTCAAAACGATGCCCTGATTTTTTTGGAATATATTATTGGAGCGCCCGCCTGATTCGATTCCCTGAGTGGTTTCATAAGCACGAGTATTAAAGCTTATTTGAATGTAGCATTTAGGGGTTAAACGTGTCAAACAGCCTGCAGCAGAACATGTCTGATGTTGTCTGGTCCTCTTCACCTTGTCAAAGTTACAACCTTCTGCAGTGTAAGTATTTTTATTGACATCAGTAATATGGGACGCCAGCTCCTGCCTCAGGCCAAATCCCCCGGTTGGGCCTCCCCCTGTCTCCCTCTTCATCTTTCCATCTCTCTTTCTCTCTGCTGCCTATTTCCTTCATAAAAAATATAAGCAAATGCAACAACGAGCCACAACCAGGACCAAACCATTTGAATACATCCGCAGGAAAGAAATTCTGTTTGGAGATGCTGGGACCAGTAACATTTGCCGCACAGGAAAACATGTTATAATCTACTCACTGGTTTTTACAGAAGGGAGCACATCACCCCTGTTTTAGCCTCACTCCACACTGCAAAAAGTGATGAAAAATAAGTCAAAATGTTCATAAATGTATCTTAATCTGAGCACATTGTGATTGTCATGAAATCAGATTTGCCTTTGGGAGAAGCAAAATTATTATTGTTTTAAAAATATACATGAAATATCTCACTTGGAAGGAGAGAATAAAGCAACAGTCCTTGAAATAACACTAAATTGCTTTGTCCCATTGGCAAATCTTGTTTTAAGACAGTCAGAATGTACTAAAATTAAGATAAGCAACAATTCAAGCAACTTCGATCTCATATTTTATATTTTTTACTGTGCACTCACTCCCTTTGTGCTTTAGAATAGATTATTGAGATTTTAGAGATCACTTTTAAAGCTTGTTTTGGTCTGTCACTAAGCAACATCTCTGATCTTTTAACTCCCACATCATTCATAAAAATGTTTCTACCCCTTTATTAATCCATTTCTGGGTCGTGGGGGTAGCACCAGTCTATCGCTGATCGTCCTGTGGACCCACCCAGGTGGTGGGTCCACAGGAAGATGGCTGCTGCTCAGTCAATGAAGAAACGACTTTGTTCTTTCAACGGGGGTTTCGGGCAAAATGGGGTTAAGTGTCTCGCCCAAGGACACAACGACAGCAGACATCAGTGGGAGCAGTTGGAGTAGGTCTCGTGGGGAAATCGAACCCACAACCTTTAGGCCCAAAGATCAATACCCTACCAACTGAGCCATTGTCGCCCCACCCCCACATTCATTTAGACCAAAAACTCCTGGACGCCCTTTTTTTCCCCCATATGTAGTTGAGTGTCCTGGATCATCACCACTGTCCTCGGACCCTCCTGCATCGACATACTCAATGCTTAAAAAACCAAATATTACCAAAAAAATGCATCACTCTGTCTTTTCACCTTTGCATTCAACAAAAAAATTGCAATTTCTCTGAATACAAGTTGGCCATACGAGTTGGAACTACAGACACACCCTTGTTCTCGCTCCTAAAATCTTTTCCTTCCTCCAACAGATTAACTCGAAGGAATAAAAATTAACTTGCTGCCGGTACGTTCCCAGTAACAGGAGCTGGGATAGAGCGATAATCGGTTGAATTGAGTGGCCTAAATACTTCTGATTCGCTAATTATCAAATAAAGATATCTGCTGGATGCAATTGACATTCTCCCCACCCCATCTGGAAAAACCAAATGCCATCTTGAAATCAGCGACCATTACATTGCTCCACACACACTCTCTCTTTTCCCTCTTCACAGTTTTAATTAGCCGGTAACGAGTTCAATGGTGTAATTAAGAGCTCAGCTGGACCAGAAAACAAGGTGGCCATTAGCGTGTGGTTCAGATTAGCGGCAGCAGCTGCTAAAGTGAAGCAGAGGCACAGATGTCACCGTCTGGCCCGGCCTGGCAGAGAATTATGTGGATGTGGATTGTTCGGTGAATTAGATCTGTGTTTCTCAACCAGTGGGCCGTGGCATGTTGGTGGGCCGCCTTGAGATGCTCAATTCAATTCAATTTACCTTTTTGTATAGCCCTGAATTCACTACAGTAGTTCTCTGGGAGGACTTTTTACAGTTTTTCTCTATTGCTACAACACAAAACCCAGTACTCTAAACCAAATGACCAATTGCCTAAACACATTTATTAAAACTTCCCCCCACTTCTCACAACCATAAACACAATTCTCCTGTAGACACTGTTCACAAAACACATCCCCTTTTTCTCAAAACTCTAAACACATTTTTCTTCTGCTAAAACACTTGTTGCATGTATCTCTGCCCCTATAATCATTGTGAGGCTCATGTGATGAAAAATGTCTCCCACTGTCAGAAAAACTTGAACACAATGAACAAACCTGGTGTCATTCAGAAAACACCACCATCAGAACTGAAAACTCCTGTTGCAAATTATGTGACCACACCTTTATAAGTCAGTGCAGGTTCCAAACGAAAATAGATGACCAAGGCAGAAGAAGAGGAGTTTGTGTCAGAGGAGGGAGAGGAGCAGGCCAAGAAGGGAGAGGAGCAGGTCAAAGAGGGAGAGGAGCAGGCCAAGAAGGGAGAGGAGCAGGTCAAGGATGGAGAGGAGCAGGCCAAGGAGGGAGAGGAGCAGGTCAAGGATGGAGAGGAGCAGGCCAAGGAGGGAGAGGAGCAGGTCAAAGAGGGAGAGAAGCAGGTCAAAGAGGGAGAGGAGCAGGCCAAGGAGGGAGAGGAGCAGGTCAAAGAGGGAGAGGAGCAGGTCAAAGAGGGAGAGAAGCAGGTCAAAGAGGGAGAGGAGCAGGCCAAGGAGGGAGAGGAGCAGGTCAAAGAGGGAGAGGAGCAGGCCAAGGAGGGAGAGGAGCAGGCCAAGGAGGGAGAGGAGCAGGTCAAAGAGGGAGAGGAGCAGGCCAAGGAGGGAGAGGAGCAGGTCAAAGAGGGAGAGAAGCAGGTCAAAGAGGGAGAGGAGCAACATGCATTATGAATGCAAGGGAAATTTAGGTACCCCAGCTTTAATTTAGTGAGTTGTAGTTTCAGGGCTACAGGAGACACGGGGACACTTCCAGAGGCTCACATAGTTCAGCTGTATTTCTCACAGCGCTGTATTTATCGCGTCCACAGGTTGTCCAAAGATCTGCACTTGTCCTGTCAACGCCGGTCACATGGGAATGAGTCCGCTGTGCCAAACAAATGTTTGGCACAGCGGACTCTATAACATTGCACAAACAAATGTGTCTTGTGCAATGTTATAGCAGAGGTGGTAAACGTACAGAGGTAAACGACTCCACAGTTTGGGAGCAGCAGCAACCAAAGAAATCTCAGTGGGAGCAGATGGAGTAGGTCTTGTGGGGGCATCAAACCCAAGAATAATAGGCCCGAGCACCAATGCTTTACCAACTGAACCACTATGGCCACTGTGTAAACTGCTACTGTAGCCACAGCTGCCTTGGGGCACTCTGACAGAAGTGAAGCAACTGGTATGTGACATTGGCCCAAATTGGCCCACCAATTTTATAACGCATTCTAGTCAATGTGGGTGAAGTGTCTTGCCTAAGGATACAATGACAGGTTGGCACTTTACAGCCGCATCCGCCCCACTGTGGAACCTGTTGTTCCCATCTGTTCCCAGAGGTCTCCCATCACAGTACTAACCAGGCCCTGCCCTGGTTAGCTTCAGAGGTCTGACAGGATCTGGCTTTCACTTGCAGGTATGGCCACAATTCAATATATGTGGCCATACCTGCACATGGCCACATACTGTATATACAGTACATGAGAATACATGTATTTATGTGGCCATGATCAGAGAATACAGATTCGTATTGACAGATTCTCAGATCCGTCAATTTTCAGATCAGAGAATCAAACAATAATATTTGTGTTTTTTATACAATACATTGTAAAGGAGTATGTGCAATTGTGCATGCAATTCTTTTAAAGCATGCTTCTCTTAAAATAATTCAGACACAGCGCAGAGCTGCACTCTTGAAGAGCTTTATGTAAGTTCATGAAAAACTGCTCAAACTGCATCAATGCAAAAACGGTGCAGCGACGCGGTGGGAACGGGACTTAGTGGCTTCAGCCCTTGTTCTAAAGAGTCCTGGATCTACAGCTCATTGATCAGCCATTGGCTGATGTTATACATTTCAGACTTCTTTGAAATGTTCCATTCTTGTCCCTGTAACAAACGATAGTTGTGGTGCTGTGTCCGTCTCCCTCACTCTGTAGTGACTGTGGTTTAAAACTCTAAATGGAAAACATTGCACTTTATTTTAGTTGTTGAAACCGTATATATCCTGAGCCTCTACAGTATGTGCTTCTGAATTCTGTAAAAATAACTGTAAAATAAAAACATGAAAAAAGTAACGGCCGGGCCGTCAAGACGGCAAACATGTCTGGGCCGTTATTTGGTCCCAGTCCAGCCCTGGTTTGTGCCCTTTATGGACCAATGGCTCTATGTGTTTTCATCATTGCATGTCTTGTGTTTGAACAACTTGATTTTTTTATCTGTTTTGGCGAATCCAAGATTACTACCGTTGTGGATTTAGGGCTATATAAACATAAATTGAATTAAATAATTACAAGTGAGTAAGTTTACAAATGGACCTCTTTCTGCTCTTTTCTGTTCAAATGAGCAGCAGCAGCATCATATTCATTCCATGCACATAAAGTGAGGAGTTGTTTAAAAACCTCTGAAAACATTACTCTGGAAGGTAATATTCCAGAGTTTATGAATCTTAACTTTCAGCTTTCTATTCTACAAACAAAAGAGAAAGTTTTGCGGTGCGCTGACAGCTCTGCGCCGCGGTGACAGTGCTCCCTCGTGTTCACACTTAAATCCTCTCAAATCTTTGTTCCTGAAAGTGACGCGTGATCGGCTTTTGACTTTACACACAAACCTGACAAATACCAACTCTATCTGATCCCAAAGCAGAAGTCTGCACCTGGAAAAGTGACTGGAGTTTTAAGCATTTCAAGTGAGAAGGGTTAACTCACAAAAGAAAGAGGAAACATGTTTTTAAAAATGAAAAATACAATTACTTATGTTGAAACAGCAGGCAAAAATCACATATGTTGTATTCACCTACATAAAACAGATGCATTATTATTATTATTAATATTATTATTTTGTCTGCCTTATATCCCAAACATTAGCGGAAGAAACATGTTCTGGTTAGTTCTGGTTTTCTCTCTGGTCTGAAAAAACATGGACCCATTGTACATGTTTTTAGTGGCGGGGAAACCTCAGAAAGACCGAAGAGACTTGAACTCCACTTGAGGAGTCAGACCAGACCTCCACCAAAGTCCAGGTCTCAGGTTTCTGCTTCCTGTGGCTCAGAGAACAGACTTTACAGCAGTGTGCACAAGTCTCTCCATGGCCTATAGTACCAAAGTACATCTGTGACATGTACGTGACACACAGAAGGGACTGACTCCAACTCTCAATGCTCCACATGGCATCGAATTATTTAAACAAACATTTAATAATAACTGAATTTCTCCATTGTGAGATAGAAAAGTATATCATCTCTAAATGTCTTGTTGCGGTGAAATATGGAACGTGCATTGATAGCTATTGCTGTTTTTTTGTTTGCATCAACAAGATTATGATGATGATAGTAAAAAATTAGGATTGTCATGTGAAAATCTGTTTGCAGGCCCTTAAACGTCGTATTGATAATGGGGAAGGAACAAATTAGCATTTTGTTTCAGCCTTCTCCTGTTGAGCTTTGTTTCTTGACATTATATGCACCTGGAAAATACATAGTAAAACTGCTCAAATAAACAAATACTACTACTACTACTACTACTACTACTACTACTACTACATGTCAGTGCCAGCCAGAGCACAGGGACTGGCCTCCTGCTGGTGCCTAGAGTCAGGACTAAACATGGGGAAGCTGTCTTAGATTTATGCTGCTAAAATCTTCTTGAAAATGTGAGACAGGTTTCTACTCTGACTGTTCAAATCTAGGTTAAAACAGTTCTGTTTAGCTGCAGACAACTGAAGGATTGACTCTTTAAAATTTACTTTATGCATATTTTGTTTTGCCTTGTGTTGTTTAGATGTTTCTTTTCTTGTTATGTCAATTAAAAGTTGTACTGTATTCATGGGGAGGCTGCATTTCAGATCCATGCAGCTAAAATCTGCACAATCTTCCTGAAATTGTGAGACCATGTTTATATCCAGGTTAAAAACAGCTGTACATAAAACGGTGATTATTTATCTAGTTTTTATTATTATGCTATCTTATTTTGTTCCGCACTTTGAGCTGCCTTGTGTATCAATTGTGCTATACAATTAAACTTGCCTTGCCTTCTGTATTCTGTGCTCTTCAGATTCCAAGTTGTACAGTTTATTTGGAGGAACTGTGCAAAAAACTTGCCTTGTTTTATGATAATTGTCTATAATCGTCGAACTTGAGTCAACTACGGTGTATATTTTGAGCCATTTTTTTCACTCACCGCATGATATACCACTCCTTCAAAACCCAGAATTGACACGCAGTAATCCACACTATTCTCACCATACCCTGCACTCTGTCTTGTGTATATGTGCTTTCTCCGCCGCTCTCTTCAGCCGCCGCCGCCTTCCATTGTCCCTCATAATATAATTCATGTATATCTGCGGCCTTGCATCCCATTATGTCCCGTAAACTACTCACGTTATCCACCGCTGCACCTGGAGAGTGGCACCGATCTCACAAACACAAGCCTTCCCCTCACCGCAAATCAAATTTATTTAGCCAGACGCACTAGCCAGACGTGTAAGCGATCATGTCACACTCCTATCTGAATTACTCTACACGATTCAATCCCTTCCCTATTCTCCGGGGGCGACTTGGAAGCCAGTATCAGTCAACGGTCGATTGCATGTGGCACATTACAATGCAAACAAGGACCAGGTTTTCAAACACCCAATTTAAATACGGAAACATATCTAGGCTGGTCCTGCTCCGGTGCGCTCTGTGTAGCCTAGCCTCCCCGGGAGCTACCGCAGGGAAAGGGGGAAGAAGGGGGCAGGAGGGGGAGGGGGGGTGGTGTTTTAAGGGTAGAAAAAAAGGGGTGTTGATGTTTGGACGATAGCACCAAAGGAATGGGAGTTAATTTGAATACTGCACCTCAAGCCACTATTATTATCAGATGGGATGGATGGGATTGGGGTCCAAAAATAGGGCGCTTTGTGTGGTGCAGGTGGGGGGCCACAGTGGGGGTGTTGGAGGGGGGTATCCGGAGCTCATTATCAGGGACAGGGCCCAGAGAAGAGCAGTGTACTGTATGAAGAGGAGGAGTCAGAGGAAATTAAGGGACATTTTAGAGAGATTTGTTATCACTTTTATAGGAGGAAATAGTTCAGAAGACTACCGCGGTTTTCCCGTAGCCTTGAGTCCTGCTCCTGCCCCTCATGTTTATGCTCCAACAACATCATATAACAGTTTATTTGTATGGCACAACTCATACACAAGGCAAAGTCAATCTTATAAGAACAAGATAGAAGTAAAATCTCACAAGGCGTTAAAATAATCACAGGACATTAAAACAATCAAAGTTGAGTTGTTGCAGCTAAACTAAACTGGACATGAGCAGTGTCATAGTAGATGCCTGACTCACATTTTCAGGAAGACTGTTCCAGATTTAAGCTGTATATATAGCTTTGATTTTGAAATGCTGCCTTCCCATGTCCTGACTCTGCGCACCAGCAGGAGGCCAGTCCCTGTTCTCTTCAGATTCCAAGTTAGTAAATGTCACTAACTAGCCATGAGTATAAGAGTTATTTGTATTTAAAGTCAGAAGAAAACTTGTGTGCACTGCTGCGGTTAGTTCAGAAGACTACCGAGGTCTTCTCGTAGCTCTCTATTTTGGATTGAATGTTCGATGTGATGCTATAGTAAGGAAGGAGTTTCACATGTTATGTATGTGTATCTATGTTATGGCCTCTGTCACATCTTTCAATCAGCTTTTTCAGACAGAAAAGTGAAAAGA